AGTTCCTGTGAACACACATGGTCTCACACACTCTTGATACTACATATTTATCAGGACATAACAGAAATGAGTCCAGAGGTTGTAATTTTGAGTCATGATAGAAGTAGGGACTGAGATGGCATAAAGATAGAGAAATTCTCAGAGATTTCCATAGGAAATAGAATCTAAAATATATCCAATCAGGGAAGTCTGAAACTTTCAGATTCTGATCATGTTTCAATACTCTGACAACCTTGCATGTACTAAATATCTCAAATGGTATTATGACCAAGGTAACTCTCAGCATCATGATTTTCTATGACACTCAGAAGACAAAGCTGTTCTACACAATGTGGTTGATTACCGTGCAACACACATTAAAGTCAATGAGTGAAGAGATGATGGGACAGAGCACAGACTTCTAGAATAGGGCACAATTCTCTCTGCCATGACAGGAGCACCTTTGAAGTGTTTTCAAACAATAAAGACAATGAACTTGAGCCTAAACATTCAAGGTTTCCCTGAAGAGCCCCCATGCCAACAGTCATTGAGATTTTAACACCTTCAGCATCAAAATTGCCTACCACCCAGGTCACATCATTGTTATCCACCTGCATAGTCCAACAAGGGCCAAAGCTTATTATTGTAACAGAAGTAATATCCCAAGAACCATCTTGAAGACAGTCTTTACTGTGGAATGAATGAGAAGGGTTTGGTAACATAGGCATGCCAAATGAGCCTTGTCCTGATCATTAGAATCTTCACTAGGTCATTTCATGAGCCAATAAATAAGTTTGACCTTTAAAACCTGGGTTAAAATCTTGTCAGCCCCATTCTACAGATGAAGAGTTGACATTTGAAAACTGTTCTCGGGTCAGGGCTCTGTGGTTTCACATCCTAGTATTTACACAACCAACTACATTGTAGGACTTCTTAGTCAAAGATTTTCTTCCCTCTGCTACTTGGGAGGCCTCAAAAATAATTATATATTTTTCTCTCCTTTTAATTCTCAATCACAAAACAGTGTCTCATTTGCAGGACCAACTTTAAAATATGTGATAAATGTATATGACAGGCCATGAACTGAAAAGGTCCAAATTTATGCTGTCACCTCCAGAGTCCTAGACTGACATAATTTCCTTCATAACAATGTCCAGATAAAACACAACAAACTTGGGAGCAAGTGTGTCCACACTACTAACTTAGAATTTTTGTAATGTCCCAGACTCTTCCTCAGTCCTGAAGAGGTCCTTCAACAACTTAGTTTAGATAAAGAGGGAGCTGGAGACACAGCTCAGAAATTAAGAGTATCTGCTTTCTCCAAGGTGTCCCAACTTTGGTTCCCAGCACCTATGTCAGGCATCTCTTTACCACCTGTAATTCCATCTCCATGGGAGCTGGTGCCCTCCTCTGTACTCTGTGGCCTCTGTGCAAAATACTTGCACACAGACACACCCATATACATAAATTAAAACATTAATAATTTTAACTTAGATAAGAAAAATATCTTAAGTGTGAAGAGAGATAATACCCTCATCTTTAATTATGAACAAAATCTTAACTTTGGAGTTAGGTCAAATATACAACATCCATGTTTTCACCTTTTCACAAAATAAATGGACACATTTTTAATGTCAAGTTGGTGGGCATGGAGCCAGGATGTTCAGTTGCAATGAGTACCTCTGTCTGGGATTTGCAAGACAAAGCTTTAGGAAAAAAGTATGTTTAGGTAAGCAGGTTGAGTCTCATAATGTTCGTATGAACCATGTGGGATATTGTTAAGGTACAGATTATAAATTAGGACCATGAATAATTTTTCAATGGTATAGGAATTGCTGTCTTGGGGCCCTACTTTGAAAAGCAAGTCAAAGGCAATCTAAGTTATTGCATCCTCCTTATCCTGTTTTGTATTTTTGGCTTGCTACCACAACACTGTTCAAACAGATAAGAAAAACCCTACACTTCTGTTTCTTATCCTTCTTCAGACAGAACATGTGAAGGCAAGAACTCACAAACTGTTCAAGTCAACTTGACTCACAATAGCAATAAGCTTAAATGTATCATGTGAAGAATCTAAACCTCCCCCTTGGTTGATATCATCACGGTGCAGAAGAAGCTCCTTGTACTTAATGTTTCTTTACTTTTTATGATACATTCAAATGCTTGTTCCTTTCTCAAAGAAAGTAAATGGTAGTTATTTCTAAAATTAGGGAAACCCTTCTGTAAGCATTTAGAGTCTCCTACTGGGCAGAATTAAGTCTCAGGAAGTGGACAGGCATCAGCACTTCACATCTCAATGATTGAGTCTGAAATAACAATTTGTGCCTTCATTATCTCATTTCCTGAGGCTAATAAGCACTGTTTTGCACTTGACAGTGAACAAAATCTCCATCTCAAACAGGATGTGTTCAGGACTTATCAATGGTTTTTCGGTGGCTTTTGCATTTTCCAAACACCCCTGCATCAACAAAGATAGCTCATTTGTTTCACTTTGTGAAAACTCTCGATTTTTCCCCAAGACTTTCCATTTCACGCCATGTGAATTTTATTAAGATCGCTTTCACAGAAGCTAAGTACTGGTTGGATGGGCCTGGAGGGATGACAGTCACAGCCTGGGCAATGCTGGAACTCTCTTGAGACATTTCTTTGCTACTAAAATCCCCTTGGAGAGTCATAGGGAAGAATCCAAATTGTCCAATAGTTTTTGTCTCATGAATATTTTGACATTGTAACCTGTAAATCTTTCAATGATATTAACTTAAATCCAGCAGCATGGAACTCAGCTAGTTCTTCATATTAGAGTATTAATATCACATGGATATAGTCTTCAGTTATGCTTAAAACTGGGCTAAACTACTAATTAAAGTAAGATTTTATGTTATAATTAGCCTTTATTAACAAAACTGATAAGCAAATCTATTGTCTAATAATTTTCAGTGAAGACTTTCTTATCAAGAGATTATCATTGAAAATGAACATAGATTTTGAGATTTCTGCTATAATATGTAATAAGAATTTCAATATTATATGTTGTCACCAATAGCATTAACTGCATTATACTTCTTTCTTTTTTTATTTTATTTTCCAGTTTAAGTTTAGATAAGAAACAAGGTTGCTTCACAAGTCAGTTCCAGGTCCCTCTCCCTTTCCCTCCCCTCCTCCCGTGCCCTCCCCCCGACCCCCCCCCGTTATCCCCTCATTCCCCCAGGGAGGGTGAGGCCCTCCATGGGGGTGTCCATAGTCTGTCATTTCATATAGGGCAGGGCCTAGACCCTTCCCCAAGAGTTCAGGGTGAGAGTGCACCTCACATTGTTCTATGGGAGTCCAAAGTCCATGTGTATACTTGGGGTGGGTACTGATCTGCTGTCCAAGGCTCAATAGATTCCCTAGGCCTCCTCACTGACACCCAGATTCAGGGGGCCTTGATCAGTCCCATGCTGGATTCCCAGGCTGATGCCTGGGATTCAAGAGTTAACCTTTGTCTGGTCAGCTGTTTCTGGGGGTTAAACCAGCCCAGTCTTAATCTCTTTGATCATCAGTCCTTCCTCTCTGTTACTGGCTTTCTTGAGTTCAGCTCAGTACTTAACCAAGGGAGTCTGCCTCTTCTTCGATCAGCCACTAAATGAAGTTTCTGTTTCCCAGATTCTCTGGCCATAGGATTGTAGGCTGGCATTCCCCAGATCTATGTCTAAAATCCATATATGAGAGAGTACATGCCATGTTTCTCTTTTTGTGACTGGGTTACCTCACTCAGGATGGTTTCTTCTAGTGTCATCCATTTGCCTGCGAATCATTATACTTCTTTCTAATTTATAACATAAAACAGTAATTGTTTGTTTCATACAAAAATAAATTAACTCCATGGTAAACACTGATCTACTACCCAAGGCCCCAGAGATTGCCAAGGTTTCCTCACTGACACTACATTCAGGGGGTGTGGATCAGTTCCCTGCTCGAAAGAGAGGAGGGGTGGGAGAGGGAGCTGGGATTGACATGTGAAGCAAGCATGTTTCTAATTTAAATAAAAAACATATTGAAAAAATACATTAACTCAGGCTTTCTCTAGAGTGGATATTTATTCAATGACCTCTAAACTCTCATTATTATCAGTTCTAAACTTTATAATGAAAGTAGGTAAGAATTTTTAACACTCTGAGTATGCTAGGCAACACTGTAAACTGTTTACCATATGGACTGGTTCTAGTATTCCTATTTTGTAAACATAGCAGAGATAGGCAGGTTGAGCATCTTGCCTAAATTTACACCCCTGCTATTGGAAGAATCTATGTTAAAATAAAATAGGGTATTATGATAGATATTAGCACTCATGTTTTTTGCCCAAAAGGTAAAGCATATGGTAGCTGTTGTAATTTAAGAAAAGCAGTGGGTAAGAGAAAGACGCTATGTGACAGGATTTAAGCAGAGTTTTTTATAATTAGGGAAAAAGATAATAAAAAGAGGAAAGGGGAAGGGAGAAATTAGTCTCCGGGGACCTTAGCAACATAAAAAAGGAAAGAGGGAGAGAGGGAGAGAGAGGGAGAGGGCAAGGAAGAAGGAGGAAGAGAGAGAGAGAGAGACAGAGAGACAGAGACAAAGAGAGAGAGAGAGAATGTAAAGTGGGCAGGACCCTTTTTAAAAGGAAAATAATGAATAGGCACAGGTGGTACTCTTAGTGGCAACCCTGAGGGTGTATCCTGTCAGGGTCCCAGCAGGTCAGTACATATGCCTGAATACTAACATAGCTGTTTCTGAGAGCAGGGAAACCCCACTGTCAGCATTCAGACTTCCATACTAAGCATATCTAAATCATTTTTATTTATTCATGCACAGTTTGGAAATCATTTAAAAACTTGAGAACACTTGGATTTTCACCTTTAGTTTCCTCTAATTTGCATTTAGAGATGCATATATTGGATGGTTTGTTCAAGAATGAACTAGAATGCAGGAGGAAACCTTTGATATGGAAACTGTTGACACACTTGAAGCCACAGAGACCCATCTCTTTATCTCTTTTTTTGCAGAATGTGTGACACAGGAGAAGGACTGTTCACTTTTCAAACAAGGGAAGGAGAAATGATCTATCAGAAGGTCCACTCTGCAACACTGGCCATAGCTGAGCAACATGAAAGATTAATGCTAGAAATGGAGCAGAAGGCCCGGGTAAGGCTCCATCCTCTGTAACCTAATGCCTGTGAATAAATGTCCCTAGGCTGACACATACTATATCTATATGAGTAAATTTGAATAGTGCATGGTGTTCACCAATATTCTGCCCCTGTTACCAAACCTATGAAGGCCAACCTCTAAGGTCTGTAATACCCTACTCTTTCCCAAAGTAACATATCTTTTGACTAAATTTTGAAGTCAAGAGACCTTTAAAATATATAGGTTGGTTTAATTTGGCAGCTTTCATAATCAAATGTCTCTCAGCAGTTATTATTTGTTCATTAGCAGTCAAAAATTTGAAGACAACACAATAACATACACACTCCATACCCTTTGTGCATTTTCCATCTTTACATTGCTTATTATATTTTTATTACTCTATTTCTTTTTTTAAAAAAGATTTATTAATTAAGCATATAGTATTCTGCCTGCTTGTATACCTGCATGCCAGAAGAGGGCACCAGATCTTATTACAGATGGTTATGAGCCACCATGTGGTTGCAGGTTGCCAGGAATTAAACTCAGGACCTTTGGAAGAACAGCCAGTGCTCTTAACCTCTGAGCCATCTCTTCAGGCCCCTCTCTCTATTTCTTTTTTAAGGACTTTCTCTACCCTTTTTTCTTTTTTCTCCTAAGCATGTATAGTTTTAAACACAGGCTAACCTCTTTACAGTTTAGTTTTCTGTCTGAATCTGTCTTTACTGTGTACCTGTAACATTTTTTTGTCTGCATGAGCAAGAAAAGCTACTGTGTAACTTAAGTCATGGTGTGTTGGCAACTGGCTCCTCCCCCTCGATTCCCCAAAAGTATAGTCTCAAGATGGAGGTCATTTATCACCAGCTCTGGGCACAATGTTTACCTCCCCAACTCTGGGAAGTTTCTAGTACCATGCTGCCACCAAGTAGCATGCCACCTGTTGCTCATAAACACCATATAAGTGTTTGGTAGTGAGGCCACTTAGGAGAGCTGCCCATTTTTGCCATTGCACCAAGCAAGTAAGCTGTCTCTTAAAGGAGCCATGCCTCTGCTCACCACCAGCAAATAGAGCACACCTGAGAAATCGCAGCTACCAAGACGCCATGTCTGACTCCATTCTTGTATATCTTTAATTGTTTTTTAAGTTTTGTCAGGTTTTATTTGAAAATTTCAGTCACACATTGGAATGTCATATGTAAATGTAGGTTTCCAGCAAAGGCAGAGAAGCAAGATTAGAATGTGTGGCTAAACACAGATAAGAAATATGTCTTAATTTAAGTGTAAGAGTTAACTAGTAACAAGCCTGAGCTGTTGTCCAAGCATTTATAAGTAATATAACTTAATTATGGTGTTTTGTATACATAGTAGCTACTTAATAACTGGCACCAGACCATTATGCACTTTTTGGTAGTCAGTAAACTGTACAGATGAATACAAGAGAAGAGAAAAGAAGTCTCCCCCTTCAGATTGCCTACAGTTTTGTGAGATCAAATAGTTTGTATCATCCAATGTTGTGATAATTCTATCATGGCAGTAGAGTCAAAGTGAGTTTCTGGAAAGCTCTGAAAAGCTCATTCATGGATCCTTCAGAGAGAAAGATCCTAAAGAGCAGAAATAACTCTGTATAAAGCTGGATCTTAGGTAGTTTCAACATTTTCTTTAGTTTTTTAACACGAATATGTTTTATACAGAAAAACAATGGTTTATTCTTTCTAAGAAGAGTGCCAAGGATGGGTTTCACTTCATGAAGGGAAATTGAAATCCAATCAGAAACTGGTTGCTGGATGACAAGGAAACAGTGTTTTCTAGACACAGCTGGTCAGTTGTACAGATGAACACTGTAAATCAATATTTAGCTGGGCAGTGATGATGCATGCCTTTAATCCCAGCAGTTAGGAAGGAAAGGAAGATAGAATTCTATGAGTTCAAGCCCAGTCTGGTCTACAAAGCGAATTCCAGGACACCAAGGATATTACTCAGAGAACCCTGTATAGAAAAACAAAACAAAAATCAATACTTAAAATGCTTTTCTTTCCCTGAAATCCTCAATTTCATTGTCACAGGAAAGACTAGACAGAAAGATAATGGAGTGAGATCTGTAGAAAAGTAATTTAAATATCAATAGAAAGTGAACCTCACCCTTCTCCAATTAAACTTTACTTAAGCACTTACTAATCATTCATCACTGCCCATCTATGAAATGATGTTCTATATAAATAGTAACATGGAGTGCTCTATCAGCACTTAGATAGCATGTCAGTCTCATAGGCAACTGCATCATCTGGAAAGAACTACCATATTGCATCAATTCTAAGATGACAGATCAGGTCTTGTTTCTTTTTCTTTTATTTTAGCAGTTCTCACTTAAATGTAAGTCCCAGTTTGACTGACAGAACCAATCATTTGTAGTGCTCGGTATAATAAAGTTAAGTCTTAAAATGAATGAAATTTTAGAGTGCATGAAATATAGTGATAGCTTTTATAAGCGGCAAGGATATATTCATTTATAACTTTTGAAGGAACTAAAAGGCCTCCCAGATGGTTATATTCTTAGCAGTCTGGCTTCTACTGCAGGATGCCATTAAAACATTATTCTTAGACACATTCTGAGGGAGTTCCATCAGCATGAAAATGATAAGGATTTCTACAGCAAAAATATGAAGAACTTTGAAGCATCTAACTGTGGTGATACATAGAATATCTTTAACATACTTGTCTGGGCATAGTTGCAGAAGCTTTAGAATTTCAGGAATCATATGCATATACATGGGGAAATGATATCTATTTAAACTAAATACAAATGCTGGAAGATGGCTTAGCAGTTAAGAGTACTTACTGTTCTTGGAGAAGACCAAGATTTAGTTTACAGTACCCACAACTGCTTGCCACTCTAGTTTCAAGGAATGTGGTGTTATCTTCTGGTTTCCATGGGTACCCACACATACATACACATACACATGCACACACACACACACACACACACACATACACATAAAGTAAAATGAATTTTTAAAAAGTAAATGCAAATTGATTTCTCAAAGTTCAAGACTCTACTACTCATCAATAGTAATAATAATCGTAAGAAAAGAGGATCAGTTATTAGTGACAATGACAAAGTATCCATTTTGAAATGTCAAAGCCATATACATGAAATTTTCTTTTTTGATATGAATTGACTGGAATTAACCAACACAACTCAATTAAAATAAGTTATGGTCAATAATGAATGTAAACTTATGATCCTAACTAATCACTTTATTTACTAATGTTTCATTTCAAAACACTAAAAATACAATTAGTTTTTCACAAACACACATGATAGATTCATGCACATGAAAAATCACACATTTTCTCCAAAATGAACAATAAAATGGACATGACAAAATCCTGTATATAGTTTGATCACTGAGGCTACAATGCATTATTGATAGAAAAGTTACTTTATTTTCCTTTAGCTGGAATGTGTTATGGATAGTCCAGATGTCTCTTCAGAAATTGCATGTGCATAGAGAGGGGATATGATGATTGACATTTCTTACTTTTAATTAGTTAAAGCTGTTACTATATAAGAAAAGGGGCTACCTAATATAAAAGATCCTAACTTCCATGTTATTTCCTAACTTTTATGTTATTTCCTTTAGCAGATACTTTTCTTAAATGAAAACAATATATTTCAAAGGTTAAAACAACTCAGCAAACAAATATAATATTTCTTAAATGAAAACAATAGATTTCAAAGGTTAAAATAACTCAGCATACAAATAAAATATTACAAGTGCAAGGCCACCTTATTTCAAAACAAACAAAGCCAAATAAATCTTAAAAGTCAACATAATAATTTGATAGGTGAGAATGGACAAGCTGGTGTACACCTGTATTTCTGGCATTTGGGAAGATCATTGATTCAAGAGCTTCATAGCAAGCTCCTGTCTGACAAAGTAAGAACTTGTGGGAGGGTAATCAGTGCTGCTTTTGGTGAAGGTGATCACATCTCTCATGTCCTGTGGGGTTAGGTGATTGTAGGCATGGTGTGTGGAAGCGATGTGCACTAGTAAGACTAACAGAGCAGTGTGAAGTGAAGCTGGTTCTTTATCTACATCTTCCTATGAGAGGCTGTGCAGAGCCTGGCAATAACATCTACTTTAGAAAGTTAGCATGGAAGCAGGGCTTTTTTGGAAACTTGGGGATAGCTAATTCATAAAGAGGCTAACAAAGAGAAATGAGCTACACATAAATTCATCAATCCCAGATTTTTATGTTTATCAATACTGAAAATTACTTAAAGAAAGCATTATCTATTTAAAATTTTAAAGGAGAAAAATTGTGTTGTAAAAACAACCATAAGCTGTTTATGTTAGTATTTACCATGTGTTCATCAGTAGTCTTGTAGCAAAAGAGTAGAGACACTCAGCCTAGACACACAGGGAAGAGCCTAGGCCCTGCCCCAAATGATGTGACAGACTTTTAAGATCCCCCATGGAAGGCCTCTCCTCACCCCAGCCTGGGGAGCAGAAAGTGGAGGGATTGAGGGTCAGTAGAGGGCAGAAGAGGATGGGAGGGAGAGGGAACTGGGATTGGTATGTAAAATAAGATTGTTTCTAATCTAAATAAATAAAGAGTAGGTCTCTAAATACATCTACCCCCTAATTATAAATGTGAGATACTCTTAAGGAAATCCAGATATTCTTTCATCTCTGTGCTGCTGGAAACAGAACATAAAGCCTCCACCACCAACCCTTATTCAAGGCTTTTTTTTTCTTCTTTTTTCTATTTTTAGACAGGGTCTCATTGATTTTCCTGGTCTGTCCTTGATCTCAGAACCCTCCCACCTCAGTCTCTTGAATAACTAGAATAATAAGAAAGCAGCACCAGCCTGGCTTGAATGGAAGGCACATATCTTCTTAAAAGTATTCTTGATTGTTTCTGTGGGTTTCACCAGTCCTGTCTTAACCCCTTTGCTCATCACTCCTCCTTCTCTGCATCTGGTTTCCAGGAGTTCAGTTCAGTGTTTAGCTGTG